AAACAGAATACACATTCAAGTGCACATGAAACATTCTCCAGGATATATCACATTAGGCCACAAAACAAGTCTCCATTTATTTAAGATTGAAAACATATCACACATCTTTTCCAATCACAAGGAAGCTAGAAATAAATCATACACCAAAAAACTAAAAACACACAAACACATGGAGGCTAAATGACATGCTTCTAAATAACCAATGGATCAATGAAGAAAGCAAAGAGGAAATAAAAAAAAATAGATAAAGACAAATGAAAAGGAAAACATAATGGTTCAAAATCTGTGGGCTGCAGCAAAAGCAATTCTAAGAGGGAAATTTTTATTTATTATTTTTTTTCTGAGAGAGAGAGGGTGCGAGTGAGGGACACAAAGAAAATCCCAGGAGGGGCAAAGAGACAGAGAACGGGGAGTGGGGGGAGAGAGGGAGAGAGAGAGAAAGTGGGGTTTGAGCTCATGAACTATGAGATCATGACAAGTCAGATGCTTAATGACTGAGCCACCCAGGAGCCCACTAAGAGGAAACTTTATAGCAATATAGGCTGACGTGTAAAGAAGACAATAAAAGCCTCAAACAGTCTAACCTTACCTCTAAAGTACAAAAAGAAAAACAAAAGGTTAGAAGAAAAAAAAAAATCAAGATTAGAGCAGGAATAAATAGAAATTAAAAACACAACAGAAAAGATCAACGAAACTAAGAGTTGGATCTCTGGAAAGAAACAAAATTTACAACCTTTAGCCATACTCATGAAGAAAAAAAGAGAGAGGACTCAAAATAAAATCAGAAATGAGAGGAGAATAACCAACACACAGAAAAACAAAAGATTTTAAGAAAATACTATGAAAAATTAATATGCCAACAAGTTGGACAACCTAGAAGAAATGGATAATGTCCTAGGAACATACAATCTTCTAAAATTCAATCAGGAAATAAAACAGAAAACCTGAACAGACCAATTAACTTGTAAGGGAACTGAAATGGTAATCAAAAAACTTCCAACAAACAAGACTCAAGGACCAGATAGCTCCATAGGTGAATTCTGCCAAACATTTCAAGATTTAATAATTATCCTCAAAAAAGACAGGAAGAAGGAAAGCTTCCAAATACTTTCCACTAGGACAGTGTTACCCTGATACCAAAACA